TGTGTTTCGCTTTGAAGGGTGGAATACGGCGTGAATTTATAGGGTACAGAGGAAATTTATCTGAGTCCTCAGGAATGGCAACGCATGGGGGATATCATGGGCGAAACAGTATACTCTGTTATGTTCATGGTACTGCTCATGTCTATAGGCGACGGTTACCACTTTCGATCAGGTGGGCCGTCAGCTTGTTTGCCATTCTAAGTTGTATAAAAAAATAATAATAAAATTTTAAAAAAATATAACTGAATTGAGAACCTTTTTTTTTTTAAATGTGTTGAAAATAAAGCTTACAAAGTAATCTGCCTAATTGTTGAATAAACGTTGGAATTCTTCAAAGAGGGTATATTAAGATTTCCTCAGGGTTGACAATGCACACGTGACACCCCTAGTGTTGCAAGTACCCATTGAGTACTATGACCGTTTACCATCTTACAGGTTGTAAGCTTATTTGCCATATTCGTAGGAAAAAAAAATACTATTAATACACTTTCTAATTTAATTGATAACAAAATAAATAATTATTACAATTTTTTTTCATGCAATTTAGAATGGCAAACAAGCCATATCCCACCTGATGGAAAGTGGTAACCGTCGCCTATAGACATGAGCAGTACCATGGACATAACAGAGTATACTGTTTCGCTCATGATACCCCTCATGCGTTGCCATTCCTAAGGACTCAGGTGTTATACCTCTGTACCCTGTAAATTAATTGCCATATCCCACCCTTTAAGCCGGTTATTAAACGGTCTAACGTTAAATAATTGTGCATTAATTATTGAATTTGCATATTAAAGTGTTTTTGTTAATTGTGTGATTAAGCTAACTTAATTGTCACTTTGAGTTTATCTTTTAGCGTTAACCTGAATTTGATAAAGAGAAAATGGTTCTTTTACTTTACTGGCTAGACAAACTGTACAATAATCGTCAGCTTGGGTACCTGTGTCCCACTCGTATTTCTCCCTTGAAGCAGTTGTGTTTGCGTGGTTCGTTTCGGTTTGAAGGATAGTATCATCATTATAATTATATTGGCCTTTAACTGTCCACTGCTGAACAAAGGCCTTCCTTTTGGGGAATTTTGCCAGTAGTTGCCATGCTTGGTAGGTAGATTGGCAACCGCAGTCAGGCTTTAGAGATATTTCAAGAGGAATGCTGCTGCCCATACCTCGCCGTCTCTTAGTCGGTTCTTATATCACCCACGGGTAAAGAAAGGGTGGCCTATCCTATGCCTGGACCACACAGCCAGAAATGTGATATATGATAGAGAAATTACAGGATACAGAGGCATAACTTTCATGCGTTACCATTCCTGAGGACTAAGTTAGTCCTCTGGAATGGTAACGCATGAAGGGTACTATAGGCTACACAATATATACTCACAATCAGTTAAATTCAAATGGAAATCATATTTTTATTCAAATAGACTTTTTTACAAGCACTTTTAAATCATCATTTCTTTAATTTACTGCAGAGTTCGAAAGGTTATCTATTGAGAAAAGCCCGCAAGAAACTCAACAGTTACTGTTTTAAATCTCTGTTAACATTATGTGTATTTATTTAAATGTACTATGTCTAAAATGACATGGTTGTTAAAAGCCCGTGTATGTCCATGGTACTGTTCATGTCTATAGGCGACGGTTACCATTTCTTATCAAGTCCGTCGACTTATATGTTATTTTAAGTTGGATAAAAAAATTGTAATTTGTTGTAGATAAACAATTACATATACGTATGTACATTGACTTACAAATCATAACACATATGAGCAGTATCATGGACATAACAGAGTATACGGTTTCGCCCATGATACTCTCTATGCATTGCCATTCCTGAGGACTCAGATGTTAATCTTCTGTACCCTGTAAATTTACTGCTATATCCCCTACTTCAGACCGAAACACAGTCATGCAAACGCAGCTGCTTCACGGAAGAAACACGAATGGGACAGAGGTGCCCAAGTAAACGACTTTTGTACAAAGTCTCCATCCGCATTTTTACTGCATAATTAGATTCCAGCTATATATAGCAGGAATCTAATTATGCTATAGCAATAAGTCTACCTTTTGTGCCAGACATTTTTTTTTGTAATGTGGTCAATAAAGAATAAATAAATAAAAATAAATAAATAGTCAAGTGCATTATAAGCAAGTGACGTAGACTCTATATTATTAAAAAAAATTGAGAAAAAATTACAATAATATAACCCAATATATCAAAAATTCGCCTATTAATCTATCTATCTATGTGAAGCATTTCAGTAACATTATTAGTTTATTTAAATAAACCATAATGTATGAAATTAATAATTCTAACAAACATTAAAATGTGGACTCACAGTCATCGCCGCACCTACACACGGCTATGAATAATAAAACAACAATTAAACACTTCATCGTTAATTTAAACCGTACGCCCATTCACTGACAAGTACTTGGCGAGACTGAATTGTGAGACAAAATAACTCGACTCATATTGGGCTTCTTATCTTGTGCAGTTTATCCAACAGTATTTATTATACGGGTCTAACATACTGTGATAGTATTTAATTATACTTCGATGTTACATGGGCGAGAATTTATATTATACGTCGTGTAATATTTGTTCTTAAATCTGATAGTTTTATATTCTTACGATTTTTTTAATTGTAAACATGTACATCTTACAGTACCTTAATGGCTTAACTAATATACATAACTTTAAAATTTGATATATACATATTATATGAGATGGAGAAGAATAAAGGTTACATATAACCTTGGTTAATAAACATATTCCGGTCATGTGGACAAAGTAGTGTGTAAAAGCTTTATATAATTTTAAATATCAAAAATGTAATACTTTGTATAAATTTTATTGTTAATATTCGGCCATTTAGAGCTAAGTAATTAGTAAAACAAGACTGTGTGGGTAATTGACTTTGTCTTAAATTATTACTAGCCATATCCCGCGACTCCACTCACGTGAACTAATATATATAGTATCCTATATACTAATTTAGGATATAATCTACACGTATACCAAATTTCATTTAAATCCGTTCAGTAGTTTTTGCGTGAAAGAATAACAAACATCCATACATACATTCATCGTTACAAACTTTAGCTTTTGTTATATTAATAGGAATATAAATATTATATTATTACTTAAGGATCGAGAGATGTTGGGAGCAGTAGCGTCTCTCTCAAAACATCACCGAAGTCTAACTACAGTTACCAATCTGCCTGCCAAGCGTGGTAACTATTGGCAAACTCAATTTATGGGGTAGACCTATGTTCAGCAGTGGGCAGATAATGGCTGATAAGATGATGATGGTATTATTATAGTTTGACATTACATTATCGACACGTAACACTCTAAATAATGTCATATCGTACTTCAAAACATCGTGAAATGGTACTCATATATGGCATTGATTCTCGACTATGTAACATCTTGTATTTTTTTTTTTGTTTATTAAACAGTGTTCGGTCATATCAATAAGTATTTGAGACACTGAATTATGACTGGAAATTTAACACATAAAACTTAAGAATTAAGACAGTACTATGATATATAATTTTATAGAAACAAATATTGTGTTCGAAAAGTTCATATCACTGGTGATTTGATTAGAATTATTTTTTTTTTTTTGTTCTTTAGTAGTGGAATTAAACAAAATAATTGTAATCAGATGATTATGATATCACTTTATTATATTTAGGTATTACATAGAAGAGAAATAATATTAAAATCTATTTAATATCATACTTCTAACTGTTAGTGTCTCATTATTTACACTATCAGATCTCAATTATATTACATCCCATATAATGTTATTTCAAATTGATTACATCCTATATAATGTTATTTCAAACTATTTTTTCATCGAATACTACGTACGGTTTTCAAAAGTAGACAACCAAAGTTATAAAGCGTTTTTAAATGAAACATCAAGATAAAAAAAATACACTATTTCACATATATTTCAATAATGCACCGCCTAATTATTTCTCGGTTAGCACAATGGTTGACTGGTAGAGAACACCGTCCAGTGAGGCGGACACCGTCAAGTGTCAAGTGTGGCGATATATGACGGTTTTACTACCATATGTAGATAGAGTTTTACTTAAATGCATTAAAGTATAAATAAATAAATAAATACAACTATGAAAACGGAATTTAATTCGATACAGTAGTTTTTGCGTAATGCCAAACAAAACATATAGATAGACAGATACTAAATTTTTAATCACTTTTTAAGAATTCTTATATTAATTTTTGTTAAATATCTTTTATGTACAGATATCGTCTAGTTATATTTTTAATATATCAGTGAGATAATTCAGGTAGTCTTGTGAAGCACTGTGAGTTTGACACACAATTTAAGTTTTTATTCCCTTTTTTTACAGAGCAAAATCTTAACTCATTAGTATCAGATACAGAAAAAAAAAATACTTAATTTATTTAAAACATAAATTTTATATCCAAATAGTGGAATTTTTTTAAAGCATCGTAACACTTTCTTCGTCGAATAAAAACCGTGTGGGCGTATAAATATTGCACATACATGTTTTATGCCCTTTCTCCCAATATAACGCGTAACATAAAAAAGAAATAGGCCCAACGATTTTGTTTTCCCAATTCGGCAGTTACAGAAAAGCAGTAGTACTTTATCATAACTATCGTATTTCCTCTTACGTTTACAATCCATTTACAATTGTCGAAAGAGAAATATGTTTAATATCGAAACATATATTTCAAAACAATATATGAAGTGCAAAACATCCATTACTCATAATATTAAAGTTTGAAAAGTGATAAATGTCATAAGAAATAGGATATAATACATTCTATAAATAAAACAAATATGCTTATTATTTTATTTATTTACTTTATACTTTATTGCAACATTTATAAAATAATACAGTTAATTGAGAAGTGATACAAAAGGCGACCTTATTGCTAAGCAATCTCTTCCAGACAACCTTTGGTTAGAGGACATTGTTTATTATTTAGGTCAATTGCTGATGTATTCATTATGATGGGCTAACTGCCCTGTTTTCATTCTCATCTATTACCCTTCACTGGTGCTCCGCCAGCGTATCCCGTTAGCGCAGGTGGAGTTACCATAACATTTTCACCCATCAAAAAAAAAAACACCTTAGTTCTCAGAAATGCCAATATGACATCATGGGCAGCACAGTATACTCTGTTATTCTCATAGTACTGTCTATAGACGACGGTTACCACTTTTCATCAGGTGGACCGCCAGCTTGTTTGCCATTCTAACTTTCATAAAAAATTTACTATACTCGTGTTTAACTATTGATCAGTTAATAAAAAATATGATATTAATACACAATTATTTTAAATTATTTATTTAGTGAATATACAACATTTTTCATCTTCCAAACAATCAGAAACACCCCGATTTAAAAGATATTCGGGACACTGTATGCTCTTGGACACACATTCACCGCCGCTTCGTTTGCAAGTCTTCACGGATTCTAGAAAATAATGGTTACTTCTATTATTATTACATATTATATACATACATACACACACACACACACACACATATATATATATATATATATATATATATATATATATATATATATATATATATATATATATATATATATATATATATATATATAAATTTCTTAAATACATAATTACATTAAAAATATTTAAATTTAGAACACGTAATTACTTGCCTCTTTTCCCGTATGTCATAAGAGGCGACTAAAGGAACTTAATGATCAATGGATGGGTAGCAGCGTCCCTCTTAGTACATCATTGAAGCCTAACTGCGTTTGCCAATCCGGCTGCTAAGTATGGCAACTATTAACAAACCCCACTTATGAGGATGCCTATATTTAGTAGTAAACAATCGTGTGATTCCGGCATAGAATGGGCAGCACCGTCCCTCTTAAAACATTTTCAAAGGTTAACTGCGACTACAAGTCCACCTGCCTAGTGTGGCAACTACAGACTATGCCCCCTTTCGCATAGGGCGAGGCCTATGTTCAGCTCTGAACAGATGACGACTGATATGATGATAATAATGATGATATAATGATCTTATTCCCTTGGAAAAATACAATGCTATGGTAAATCAGTAGATTTACCCTAGCATTACATGGATAGAAATATAGAAAAATAAAATGGCTTATTTTACTCAATCATAATGTAGCTTTTTATAGTTGAATGAATTTTTAAAATCGGTCGAGTCGTTTTTCAATTTATTTATTAAAAACAAATAATATTAAGTACAAATTAAGTGCAGATACTCTATTGTTTCCTCAAAGAGATTACTAATTTTTTACGTATTTATTATATGTATATATTTATTTAATATATTAGGTGTATGTTTATATTTGTCTAATTACATAGATAAATACTCTTTATTGTTTCCTCCAAAAGACTTATTATAAATATAAATAATCACGAAATAATCACAATGAGAAAACAATGGGCGACCTTATCGCTAAGAGCGATCTCTTCCAGGCAACCTTTAGATGGAGAGGAGTAATTATAAACAATTTGGAGACACGATGAAAAATTCTGTTAGTTCTAAATATGGAGATGTGATACATGTAATAATATAAATATTATAAATATTATATATAGGAAAAATATAATACTTATATATATATATATATATATATATATATATATATATATATATATATATATATATATATATAAGTATTATATTTTTCCTCTATTCAATAATGCATTGCCTACGTATTTCTCTGTTAGCCCAATGGTTGACTGGTAGAGAACACCGTCCGGTGTTAAGTCCGCCAAATGTACATAAAATTTTACTGTTTAAATAAATAAGAAATAAAAATTACAATAGTAAACTTATTTTACCTGTATATTGTTTATTGGCTGAGTAACAACATTCGACTTGATGATCGTCTTGTTGCTGTACTGGGCACAATCCGCTTATTTGAGACCGTCTCACCTCTGGACAATCCAACTTTCGTACACATTTACCGCCGACAGATAAGCAAGGCAATTCATTGTATAATCCATTTGACACTGAAAAAGGTTTATTATATAAATCACGAGATTATTTTTTTAAATATGAGGATATTTTTTAAATGGTGATAATGGAATGGTAACCCTGGCTATGCGATATCTATCTGTCTATCCTATTTAAGAGCTGCGCTCTTGTCGGAGCTCTTGCCACTCACTACGATTTTCAGCCTCTTCACCTCTTGATACGACACGACACCAACTCCTTCCTTGATCCGCCTGATGTAACTATGTCTCGATCTCCCTATTTCCCTCCTTCCTTCCATGCAATATAGTTGGTTTATATTGATGGGGTACCAGTAAGGAATAGCAAGGTGAGTATGAGGTCAAAACAATTGGTACCAATATGATGAATTCAGCAGGAACTAACGATGATGGTTTCCCCAGAGCTGCGTAAATGTCAACCTACCAGGCCTTAATCACATCAATTGCCTTCTCTTCAAGCTATGATTAGCTGTGTTATCAGGAACTAGACAATGAAAAACAAAATGCCCATACCTAAGCCAATTCATAAAACTTCAATACTTAATTCTTTCGGGAATCGAATCTGAGGCCTCATTTACGCAAAGCAACCACTGCGCCACGAAAGTAGTCAAGTGATGCTAGTAACAGAGTCATTGATAATATCACTGACAATTTTTTACTCATGTGAGAATATTGAACACAAATGATTGAATTGATCACGAACTACTAGATGGCGCTAGGATCGACATTTATAATTTTTATTGATTATTTTGTAATTAAAAATAATTTGAGGAAAAATTTTCAAATTGGCGACTGTCTTTATTAATATTTTACTGATATTGTAATTATTTATCACAATTGTTGTTTTTATTCTCTTGTATTGTACAACTTTGTAAAAAACACCACATACTAGCAAGAAACATTGTGATCGTATTGTAATTCATTCAGGAAAAGATCGCGTATTATTTGTTACTTCACATTCATACATATTATTTAAAGAAACTACTTACTTATTTTAAAAAAATACTTCAAATTTCATGTAATTATAAAATAATCAACAAAAATCACAACTCTCGATTCCAGCGCCATTCCTGTTTCGCCAATTTCCTGTTGAATTATGTTTAGTGACCGACAACCTTAAGTTATTGTAAACAGATGTGCCTACTCATGAATAGAGATGTTTGTATTGTATGGTGATCAGTCGATGGATTGGAACGTGAGGTAGTGTTTTAAACCGTTGCACTGCCAAGGTCAACTTTTTACGAATTAATGTGTGTATATTGATTTTAAACTTTTTGTATCGTATTGTTATTTGTTTTATGTATATTTTAGATGATACGCGTTAATATGGACTTTTTTATGCAACTTAAAATGGCAAACAAGTTGACAGCCCACCTGATGGAAAGTGGTAACCGTCGCCTATAGACATGAACAGTACCATGGACATAATACAGTATACTGTTTCGCCATGATACCACTCATGCGTTGCTATTCCTGAGGAATCAAATGTTATGTTATGTTTTAATGTTTTATTGTTTAAAGGCGACGGTTACCACTTTCCATCAGGTGGGCCGTCAGCTTGTTTGCCATTCTAAGTTGTATAAAAAAAAACTTTGCTTATATCAGTTGTGCACTGAGAAGGTATTACGGGTAGAAACGAAAGATTACATCTCGCGGGCGAAGCTGCAAGAAACGGTTAATTAAGGTCCAAAAACTTACCACTGTCTCCGTCGCCCTTGCACACGTGTACCAATAAAGAAAAAAATAGAAGAAGTTTCATATTTTTAAATGAATTAATCATAATACTGCTATTTTATAAATAAAAATTAAAAATATATAAATGTATTTAGTAATAGAGTATTGGCACCGGTTGAAATATAAATCCTGAATGCTTGCAAAAGTGTTCGCAAGCAATTTATAGTTTGCAGATATTTTATCTTATACTATCTTCAGTTTGCTCAGTATTAAATACAAGTGTCCATTTGTTTGCATTTACTTAACCATAAGGCTGGTTTCATATGGCTTTCAAATAGATGGTATTCTTATTTTAATTTTATACTTTTACATGTTATCCTAAATTACTTATTATATCAGTAAATAGCTATTGCCAGCCATTTTGAATGCGTGGCTCGTTTTTTAAAAATCTTTTCTTAGCACGTGCTTATGTTATAAAAGATTTCTTTGTATTAAATTTTAGTTTTTAGATTTAGAAGTTTAGGCTATGTGTTGAGAGTCAATCAGGACATTATAAAATTAATAATTACTAATCCTTTATTTTTATATGTAATAATAGTTTATTGCATAAATAAGCTTACAATTTTATCTAGTCTTAATTCCTTAAAAAAGCGTTAGTATCAGAAACAAGTTCCTTTTCATAAATATACATGACTTTACAACTGATTTACCAAACAAAGACCGAGAAAAAGTTATACATTAAGTTATTAGATTAATTTTTTCATTATCTTTGCCTTTCCCCGCTTATTTCATGTTGATCGTTTATCCACAATCGATTATATCAAGATTAAAATCAGTCTACAGGATTCATATAATATTAACTTGGTAAAATTGTTTTATGGTACTAAAAAATACTTTGAAACCCTTTTTTTTTATATATATACGTATATTACCATCAAATAAAGATTTTAATGAATGAATGAATGAATGTATAAAAACTCTTTATTGTTCGTTTCAAAGAATGATACACATTACAAAGATTAACAATATATACACAAACAAAATGAATTCTTTTCTCCTACATTCTTCACGACTCTGGAACTAGCTTCCTGATACCATCAAGGGACTACCGACTAAACCGTCTTTCAAAAAAAACGTTCACACTCTTTTACTTTATCCGCACATTCAGTATTTTATATTATTCTCAATTTCGTATATAATATAGTATATGCCATATATGTTTAAGTATATTTGTTATTTATATATATTTATTCGTCCATATATGTAATTTTAGTATGTATGTATATCAATAATTACTAGTACCGCATTCGACTATTCTGGCACTTCCTTATGGTTGACTGGGAGATAATGCTTTTAGTATTAAGTCCGCCTTGTACACATATTTGTACTAATGAATAAATAAATAAATAAATATCTAATTACATAAAAGTAACATTAGGAGGCAACAATAGGCAGCCTCATCGCTAAATAGTAATCTTTTCCAGATAACCTTTTTTTTAATGCGTGATAATGGAATAGTAACCCCGCCTGCTCTATCGATATACGCTGTCGGGGCACCAGTGAGGGATGATAGGTAACGATAAAAATATGTGAGTTAACCCATCATGATGAATTCCGCTAGAATTAATCACGATGGTTTCCAGGTGGATCCGCGTGGATGTCGACCCGATGGGGTGTCTTGCTAGCAATGGGGCAGTTAGACCCTATTACTAACAATCTCTTTGCCTCAAATCAAGGTAACATTAGGATAGACAGGAATAATTAAAATTGTATCTAGTCAAGGTGTAACAGAAAAAAAAACATTAAAAAAAGTAGAAAAAAGGACTAAAGACAAATTTAAATGCAGTAAGAATAAAATAAAAATGTTTCTTTTTGGGTGGTAATTAGAGTTAAATTAAAGAAAACAGTGTATCTATTGAGAAATATAAAAACAAAACACTTCAACTATATTATCGTGAGTGTAAAACCTACTTTAGATGCAATGAATCAGAGAACAATAAAAACATTCGTCAATAGAGCAGAAAATCTAAAGAATACATCTTACTATATTTGCACTAAGAGAAATAACAAACAAACTGACGATAGACCTAAGTCTGACCCTTTAAAGGCCATTTAAGTATCTAATATTGTTCTTAAACAAATTATATTTTCATTAAAGACGCTTAATTCATGGTGAAATGAAGATAACAAAAGAAAAAAAAGTATATCTACGTCAAATAGTTTTACATAATATTTTTTTATGCAACTTAGAATGGCAAATAACAGTCTACCTGATGTAAAGCGGTAACCCTTACCTATATACACGGAAAATACAGTCTATCGTATATATAGATCCTCGAGCTTGATCCTTGATGTCTTACTAGGAATCAAGCACGGTTGGTTCCTAGTAAAATATTAACACCTAAAATTGTATGGTTGACTGGAGGAAATACTTTAAGAGGTAAGTTCGCCTGTGTACATTTTTTTTTATACAACTTAGAATGGCAAACAAGCTGACGGCCCACCTGATGGAAAGTGGTAACCGTCGCCTACAGACATGAGCAGTACCGTGGACATAACAGAGTATACTGTTTCGCCCATGATACTCCTCATGCGTTACCATTCCTAAGGACTCAAATATTATTTCTCTGTACTCAGTAAATTCACGCCATATCCCACCCTTCAAACCGAAACACAGCCATGCAAACACAACTGCTTCACGGTTGAAACACGAATGGGACAGAGGTACCCAAGCAATTGACTTTTGTACAAAGTCTCCCTCTGGTGAATTTTTGCTATAACCTAATATCTATATTATAAGTGTAGGTACAAAAGCATATACATATAAATAAATACAAACCTTTATTACGGCAATCGACTAGAAGGTTAAGAAAATATTTTACGTATTTAAGTACACGAGAAGTATAAGACAAATTGAAACAAGGTTTTTCAATAACACTAATGAGGTCAGACCGTACAAGGTCTAGGAAGCACTTGTGACGTCGATATCATAAAATACCTATGTAAAATTTAATTTTTACGCTATATAAATATGTCTTTCATAATGGTTTCATTTAGTAATCTTTCTCACTAAAGATAACACATCTAAGTACTTCGAGTCTACTATCTCTGTGTGATAATATAAAAGTAAAAAAATTAAATATAATTAAATATAAATGCAAATTAATTAAATATAAATAAAAATTAAATATAATAGTAATGAGAAGCTTTTTGTTGTATGGTCACAGCATAGAATGGGCTACACTTTTCTTTCTTGTGGGTGTCGTAATAGGCGACTAAGGGAATTTAACAGTGGAGGGATGGGCAGCAGCATCCCTCTTAAAACCTCACCAAAAGGTTAACTAATTGCTAACCTGCTTGCCAAGTGTAGTAACTACTGTCAAATACATCCCTTAAGGGGGAGGCTTATATCCAGCAGTGGACAGTTAATGGCTGATATGATGAATGAAAAATTTAAACTTGTATTTTTTTTTTCGTAATAAATCTTACTAATAGATATTTGATTTAATTATTAACTGCAAATAAATAATATTTCCAGTTTGGGGCCCCAACGTTTAACACTAGGCTTTTGTAAGGAAAGGGATTGTTAGTAATGGGGTCTAACTGACCTAGTGCTAGCAATACACGCTGTCAGGTCGACCTCCACGCGGTTTCTCCTGGAAACCATCGTGGTTAATTCTAGTGGAATTTGTCACGATGGGCTAACTGACCTGCTTTTATTGTCACCTATCATCCCTCACTGGTGCCCCGCCAGCGTATTCCGATAGCGCAGGCGGGATTACCATTTCATTATTACTCATTAAAAAAAAAAACACTAGGCTTTTAGTAGCGATCGAATAATTTGCCTGAAACATGTGTCACAGAATGTGCGCGAACAAAATGGCAGTCGCAGATTGATAGCTAATATAGAAGGTTGTGGAACTTCTGGTAGTAATAGTGGTGGTCAATCTTCTAGTGTTGGCAGTCACACACATATTAATGGTAGCGGAATTAAACAAAATAATTCTAATCAAATAACCAATGGTCTTGCGCAAAATAATATATACCATATTTCAGTAAAATCTTACTAATATTTATATGTGAAAGTTTGTAAAGATATTTTACGAGGATCTTTGTTACTAAATAACTTTTACACGGCTGAATAGGTTTAAGTGATTCTTTTTTTAACTTTGTAGAAGAAAATTGTTTCCTAATTGGCAGGTACATGTTTAAAATAACTAGATTTGAAATTCGAAATTCGATGATTATCTTCCAGTTTTTGCCCCAATTAATAGGGGTCAGCGTAATATCTTTCCATTTTTCTCTTTCCATTCTATTCTATTCTATTCTATTCTACAAAAAGGTGCTGCATTAGCAAATGACATGATATAAATGAAAACCTAACCCAAAATGGAAAGGGGCATCAAAGTCATCTGTTAGAGAGGTTTACAATACTGTGACGATTTTCAAACAAAAATAACTATAAAAAACTGCAATTAAAATAATATAAAAGTTACAAAACATTGTAACTGTAATTAACTAGACCATAAAGTGAGTACGTTATACTGGTACATAGATCATCTTGCATAATTACGACAATACAATCCCTTATCGTTTGAATGATGGAGCCCGCATCACGCCCGCGTCTTGTATCACCTGAGCGATGTGATTAATGATGCAGGGGATTGTTGTCATAGTTTCAGTTGGACGGTATAGTGGTGTTTTTGTACGGTTGTGACGTATGTGGCGGAGAGAGCGAGATGGAGTTTTTTTAATGGTTGAAATTGACATTGTAACCCCGCCTGCGCTATCGGTATACACTGGCAGGGTACCAGTAAGGATGACAGGCGACGATGAAAGCAGGTCTGTTAGCCTATCGTGACGAATTTTACTAGAATTAACCATGATGGTTTCCAGAGGGAACCGCGTCGAGGTCGACCTGATAGGGAAATCTGATGAACCCATTGCTAGCAATGGGTTCATCAGATCTTATTACCAACAATCCCTTTCCACCTGAGCGAGATGGATTTTTTTTTGGGTGAAAATGACATGGTTTCCTCGCCTGCGCTATCGGTATACACTGGCGGGCTACCAGTGAGAGGTGAGGATGAAAAAGCAGGTTAGTTAGCCCATCGTGATCAATAGTTACGTCAATTTCCAGGGGGAACCACGTGAAAGTCGACCTGATAGGGTATATTGAGTGCAATGGGGACTAACCTCTCAAT